TGATTTCCACACAAGCTATGAATGGTGCATGGCACACCAAGCTTGTAGTAAAGGCTGTTTAAGGATCGTTACCACAAATTTCTAATTCTGTGAAAGGTCTTTCTTTTCAGTAGTGTTAACAGTGACACCGTCTTTAATAAAATATTACACTAATTTCAACAGTCTTATTTATTTTTTCAAAAGCTATTAACAGGGTTTCTTTTGTTATTTCCATGATTCCCAATGCCCCTTTCTTCCGAGAAGCACATGTTCAGATTCACCATTTCTAAACTAATTTTTTCCCATAACGTATTATTTTAAACGAGTTTTATTTACCAAGCCATCCACATTCATACATGCTTAACGAAAGTGCACGAGTTAAGAACTTTGACATACATATTATGGCAATGAGCCACTATAATACACTCCAACAGATGCTGACAGGATCCTTAAATAACATAGATCAAATGGTGACTCACGTTAATTTTCATTATGCTGGAACTTGCTACTACTCTGGATGGCCAATTGTTTGCAGAAAGCATGAGATATTATCATAATATTGCCAGTTGTGTTGGCAATAGCTTCATTCCCTCTACTGATCACTCATTCTAATGGAGCTTTTTATATCAATTTATTCTTTGAAAGGCTGTGGAGCCAAGAACTATCTATCATTCCATTGTGCCTTTTTGATGCTAAATGATCTGAGATTGTTTCTCTTTAGAAAATTGGGCCAGTTTCTGTACCTATTGCTGGCAGCAAGCCTTGTATAAAAACATAATATCAGCTACTCTTGTACAAATAAACACTGCACTGGTTGGATTTGCAAGTCAATTCAACGGAAAATGAGAAATCTCTGTAGTCTGTCACTAAGATTTCTACTTCAGACTGTTTACAAGATTGACACGGTTGTACTCTATTTTGCTGCACTCGGTTAAAAGGTTGGACATCCTGTGCATTATAATGCTATTGACGTATAATAATACAATTTATTTTATTTCCTGCATTTCTGATGCTAGGTGTGAGTGAGGAATAGGGTGATTTTGTTGAACTACCTTGAAGTTTTTATGTTCTTCTTGCTCATATTGGCGTGCCTACAAGCCACAAAACAAATTGCTATTTATGCATTACAGAAGAAAAGGACAGCATAAAAATGTCAATAAAACTTCTGTTAGCGAAGTAGTTAATGCTTTGCTTGCTCGTTGCTTTTATACCAACATAGTTTAATGATGTTGATACATCATCTGTTTACTGGTTCAGCTTTTCTTCTGCAGTAGGTTTATTGTATCAATTTAAGAGCCAGGTCTCAAGTGTATCACAGTTTGCCTATCAAACATATGCAAGTATGCTTCCATATTGTACACTAGAGCTACATTACGTTGCATAATTAAGAGAGGACAGTGGCATATTATTACCTTTTATTCACACCCATATTTACATAAAGCAGACACTCATGGTCGGTAACAATTTATTAGTTTAAATTTAAGTAGCTACAAAGTACCATATTTTTGTCAAAAAAGACTGGGCTGGCTCATCACTCTGGTAACAAGAACATTATACGCATTCCGATAAATGCTGAACTTTGACACTTTTCTCCAGTAATACTTAACATGTTTTCATGTTCTTTTTTCACTGAACCTAGTTCCAACTGTACACTCAAAATGCTCAGTGTATTGATCCTATACCTCTAACCTACCCTTTTATTTTTTGGGGACTGTGGCATGATAATGAGGGAACTAAGATAACTGGCCACCAGAAGCTACACATGCTTACATTATTCAAAACATCGTATTAACAAAAACCCATTATTACCCAATAAATGTACTTCAATAAAAATTAGTTAGTTGTTCTATCCTAAATTAGGACGTGGTTAATTCCATTAGCATCAATGTTAAAAGTCACATTAACTTAACTTACACAAGGTGCTAAAGAAATGCCCACTAAATACAAATTCCTTTGATATATGGCTGTTTTTGGCCATTGCTCTTCCTTCATCCAATGCCAGATGTTCTCACTAAACTGAGTGTCAGAATTAGTGCATGAGTGGTCTTGCATGGAATTTTAGGTTTTCATTATATATTTTTGTGATTACTTCCCCAACAGTATTAATAGAAAAAACAACAAAATTTCTACATCTACTTGTAACATTTCCTGTATGACATATAGCACAGTTGTCTGGATCACAGTCTCAACATGGCTGATCAACACACACACAAATCTTAATCACATAAGAAATCTCATAACTACTTCTGGATCTTAAAAGTTTCCACAAACAATACTTCACTAATCCTTTGTGGAACCACCAGTAATATTTATTTCATTAGTCCCATACTTATTCACCTTAACATAAGAAAGATTTCAATAAACATGTTCCTGTGTTCTATGAAACAGACCCATACTCAGGTCTCATAATCTGGATCAGCTAATTTGGCTGTAGAAACCAATGGCTTCAAAATGGATAACACTCTGGCTGAACAATGTTCAAAAAGCATTAATCTCAAAAGAAGCTTTCTACAGCTGGACAGTGTTCTCTTGTTTCTATCACATTGTCTTCTAAGAATACAAAACCTCTTGTACAGATTCAATTTGACTTCTTTCAAGATTATCTTGAATGGTGAAAAATAGTTCCTTAACAAATTAATTTGTAGCCCAATCTATCATTCAATTTACCAATTGTCACCAAGTTATACTAGTTTCAAGGAATTCCACCTCTCATCAGTAACCCTGGACGAGGGCAAATGAAATAAAGCTAGGTTCATATAATGGTGAAGCACATATACACCTGGAAAAAAGTTAAGTACCCCCAAATATTTTTCAGGATTGCTTATTGAAAATAAGG